CATGGCCTGAGGTATATTTAAGCATTGGTCTGAGCCCTAAGGGTGCACTGTGGGCAGTTCCTATGCCAGTGTTTGAGAAAGGATCCACCTGTGTGAAACTGATAGAGCAGGAGGCACAGGGAAAAATGAGTCCTTTTCTTATGTTGCACAGTAAGCCAGCAGATAGGGATAAATGGGAGTTGTGTTTTATTTTTTCCTATTTGTCATTTTTCATAGGTGATATATCATGCTGCAGGTTTTTATTCCCTCATAATTAGTCTTTAGCATAGACTTTAGCATGGAAATTAAAATTAGCAGCAATGCTGAAAGACATTCAATAGCCAAAAATAGGAAGATGAGATGCCAGCCAAACTAACCAGACAGTGCTAAGTGCTAAAGGTGCCACATGCTTCCGTAAAAAAAATGCTGGTGTATCTTTAAAATTTTTGGCAGTTTTAAATCATTAAAAATATTTGCAGCTCCTATTAGAAGAAAAAAACAAAACCCAACCTATACTTCCCTGCTTTGCCAGTCAGAAGGAAGACAGAACTCAGTCAGTGCACACTCAACCAGCAAAGGCAGCAGAACTGATTGAGCACCCTCTGTCCATACCAATGGCTCCATCCATCAAATCTGTTCAAGGATGGCTTGGATTAGCACAGTGGGAAAAAGAGCCTTTAGCTGCTTGCTAACATGACATCAGTGTGACTGCCCAAAGGAATATGAACAACAATAACACTATTCAAAGACATATCCAAGGCAAATTATTCAAGGTTATTGAGTTCTTCCTTATTTACATATAATTTTCTTAGTGTGGAATAGTCATTTTTGTATTTGTCTTGGGCATAGAGATAGTTATTGCATTAAAGCAGGTAAGATCATCTGGCACAGTTTTAAAAGACACGTGTACTACTGTCATTGATCATCAAAAATTGCAAATTCCCTTAATTTGTCAACTTTGATCTTGGCAGTGATTTACTCATCTCTTGAGAAGGTGGCTTTTTAAGGATATGCTCCCTATTAAAGGATAGAACAAGAGAAAGCTGATACTGACTGGAATTTTGAAAAAGAAAATAAGAATATGGCTTATTCTAAAGGATACTTTATTGTAAAACACGTCACCATTCCCACTGCTCTTGGGTAAACAGCTGGAAAACTGGAGTGTGTGGAGAGCACTAAGAGTGCAATAAGTCATCCATCCATAACATTTAAGCAAGGTGGAAAAAAACAAAACCTTCTAGTTTCAGGTAAAAAGAAAAAAAAATTATTAAACATATTCTGACATTTAAATTAACCCCAAATCAAAGTGAACATCTTGTAAGCCTGAGCCCTGAATGCAATGCCATTACCCTCAGTACAGCCACTTGCCATCACTATCAGGAAACATGCTGTTTTCCCTACTTCTCAGCACCACAAGCACACACTCCCTATTGTCTGTGTGTGTAGGCATTTGGTGACAACAGATTGGTGGTGGTAAGGCTTAGCACAATTGTAAAATAATAGGAAAAAAAAATCAATATATTTACCAATTCTGTTGATAATATTGACTGGCACCCCTGTAATTAAGAAAGCTAACAGTCACTGAGCACCCCAATAATGATTACTACTAAGTGTTTGGTCAGAGTAGAATTATTATTAATGCATCATGAAATTATTTGGAAGACTCATGCAGAGATTTATTTACTCTCACTGACAGTGTCAGTACTTTTTAATTAGAGGTCTCCTTTAGAAGTGATTAGCTGTTACACTTAACTAAAACTCACTGCTTTTCTTTAGTGAAGCTATGGAATGGCTGCCATGTACTCCTGAGCCAACTTTATGCCTAATGAAATATACTGACAGAGAAGCAAATAAAGCAGCCCTTCATTACTTTTGATACTGAACAAATATTCTTCAGGAACATAATAACCTTGACACTAACAAACTAATTTGAACAACAAAAAAAATTACAAAACTTCATGAACATGTGAAACTGGGCATCTAGAGTAGGCTAAATTTTTCGACATCCATATTGCTTTGCTAGGAGTTTCAAAGATACTCCATCTTTGGGATACTCCTTTTCAATGTGAAATAGTAAATACTTTTGTGATTCCTTGTGTCCGGTTCTGGGCCCCTCTGTTTAGGAAGGACATTGAGATGCTTGAGCATGCCCAGAGGAAGCAACGAGGCTGGTGAGGGGCTTGGAACACAAGCCCTGTGAGGAACAGGTGAGTGAGCTGGGGGAGTTTAGCCTGGAGAAAACAAGACTCAGAGGTGACCTTATCACTCTCTAAAAGTTCTTGAAAGGTGGCTGTAGTCAGGTGGGGGTTGGTCTTTTTCTCCAGGCAGCAACTGACAGAACCAGAGGACACTGTCTTAAGCTGTGCCAAGGGAAATACAGGTTGGATATTAGAAAAAAAGTTTTTTATGGAAAGAGTGATAAAGTTCTAGAATGATCTTCCCAGGGAAGTGGCGGAGTCACCAGACCTGGATGTGTTTAGAAAAAGACTGGATGTGGTGCTCAGTGCCATGGCTTAGTTGAGGTGTTAAGGCATGATCTTGATGGTCTCTTCCAACCTAGTGATTCTGTGATTTAAGATCATTTAGTCCAAACATTAGCAAAATACTACCAAGTCTACCACTAACCCATATCACTGAATGTTACATCCACACATCTTTTAGTAACTCCAGGGATAGCGACTCCACCACTTCACTGGGCAGTCTGTTCCAATGCCTGACAACCCTCAGTGAAGGTTTTTTCCCAAATACCCAATTTAAACCATCTCTGGTGCAACTTAAGGCTCCTCTTGTCCCCTCACTTGTTACCTGGGAAAAGAAGCTGATTCCCACCTGGTTAGAATCTCCTTGCAGACAACTAGAGAGCAGTAAGATCTCTACTGAGACTCCTTTTCTCCATGCTAAACATTCCTAGCTCCTCCAGTTACTCCTTGGAAAACTTGTGCCCCAGACCTTCCAGCCAGCTCCATTGCCCTTCTCTGGACATGTTCCAGCCCCTCAATGTCTTTCTTGTCATGAGGGGCCCAAAACTGGACACAGCAGTCAAGGTGTGGCCTCACAAGTGCTGAGTGTGGGGAGACAATCACTGCCCTGGTCCTGCTGGCCACACTATTTTTGATACAAGCAATGTGTTCTATAAATGGGATGCTGTTGATTTTATAAAATACCTGGGAGTACAGCTGCAAGTTCCAACACAATCTGAAATGTACACATTTAGAAGATAAAGCAAAAGGTATATCAACAAGATTGCCTTTATTTTAATTTGAATTTTGCATATAATAAATGTTATTCCAGCTACTGGGGTCAACTGACAGACTCACAGAACAGTTATTTTAAAATTAATTACAGCTATAAATGCAGAGAGACTCTCCGAGAACAGTTCTTATCTTGAAAACCATATTAGGAACCACAGGAAAGAAAAAACATATAAAAAGGTATTAAAAAAAGCAGGTTCACTTGTAATAATATGGTTGCAGAGTCTCCAATAATCTCTCCCTTATTAACATTTTAATGTTTCAACTACAAATTACCCATTATAGCAGACATTATAGCTTATAGAACAGAAACAAGCAGTTTTTGCAAGTAGCATGGCAGGCTCAGTGTCAGCAAGGAGAACATCACCGAGTACTGGAAACACTTATGATGGAACCCACATATTTCCATGTGTATCAGGGGCATCAGTGTAAGGAATATTCCA